AGGGACTCATCAGCTGCATTCAGAAGGTTTGGCGGTATGTAAATCGCCAGAAATTCTAGATTTTGTGCATTACTCTTCTTTATCTTTATCCAGACGGATTCATATTCAAGGGGGAGGGTGAGGGCTCGCTCAACTGCCGAAATTCCTTCCCTTACATATACGACTACCCCTCCGCCCTGCCTATTTTGACGGTCTCTACGAAAGAGCTGGAAACTCGGTATCGAAATCTCAGCATCCACGATTTCGGCATTAAGCCAAGTTTCCGTTGGCGTCGGGGATTCGTTCTGAAACTATCGCTTTGAGTTCGTCGATCTTCTAAACGAGACTTTGAGCATTAGTATACAGAAATCTAAGTTTGGCAGGAGAAACTCCGGCATACGGGCGTTTATCCCTTTCCTGGAATTAAATGCAAAGGCCGTTTGGAGCTGATCGGGATGAACTGCTTTCCATCACTCCTAAGCTGTTAGAGTTATGGGCTTCCTCCAGAGAAATGGCCTCTGGACGCGTATAATTTTTCCGTCCAGTATTCTGAGATTTGTCTCGCCCAGACTCGACCGCCTGAGGACTTCCAATTTTAGCCCCCCCCCCCCATTTTTCGTTTTAGCCTCCTCCATTTTTCATTAATCTCTAACTTGGATTAAATCAGTCTGTTCGAGACTTATAGGCTCAGACTGAAATTTGATATTAATATTTTTGTCGAAGTCCATCGGTCACGGCGGAAGGACCGCGTAATACCCATAAACTGCTGACAGGCAGCCAGTAGTATATGCGTAGGTTGCATGGTATACCATGTTTGCCAGCACAGGTACTAGATGTGGTACTTTGCCGCTGCATGTCACAGCTGCCAGGGGTTCGGCTCATCAGTGAGTCGTGGCTGGGGTTATAGTGCCGGGGGTGGGTACTAATTCCTCTGTCCAATCGTTTCATTCAACTAAGGTAACCTTGCTGCAGCAGAACCTAGGACGCAGTTTAACACCGCGGCTGCATGGCCTCGGTCAGGCCGTGGAGATCAGCAACATTCTCGTTTACACGCGCAGCGGCAAATATACCGACGATAGCTGAAGCTTAAGTATCTATCATATCTCATCATGTTATTACCGACAAGGACAAGGGAGACTGGAATGGCCATTTCTGGCTTATTAGCCGTCGTCAGTCAGTCACACCCAACCCCGAAGTGTGGAACACCCGAGGCTCGAACTCGAGACCCGTTAGTTAGAAGTCCACGCCTCTAACCACTGAACCACGAGCGCGTTGACCTGTCGTTTTCGATCGGGAATATACAATGGCAGGGGGCGCTCAACGATCGTTCTTACGGAACTCACTCGTTCCGTTGTGCCTTATGGGGTGTCTGGCCCGAGCTCAACCAGCAGCCGCATAGCGGCGCAGAACAGCGGAACAGCCTCGGGCGTTCCACACTTCGGGGTTGGGTGTGACTGGCTGACGGCGGCTTATAAGCCAGAAATGGCCATTCCAGTCTCCCTTGTCTTTGTCGGTAATAACATGACAGTTCGACCGTCGATTTCGACGATGTCCACCGTGTACCCCACAGCTGCAGCAGCGGTGGGAGCAGGGACGGTGACTTACGCAGGGGTTTATAGTGCATAACATGACAGTTCGACCGTCGATTTCGACGATGTCCACCGTGTACCCCACAGCTGCAGCGGCGGTGGGAGCAGGGACGGTGACTTACGCAGGGGTTTATAGTGCCGGTAGACTTGCGTAGTATCTACCTACACTCTCTCCTCCTCCCCCGCCTGGGCCCGGTGTCAAGACAGAGTCAAGAAGACCGGAGACGAGGGAGGCCGCAGGTGGATGGCTCGGACGGATCCTCACCTTGGCGTTCCACCACACCCCCTGGTCCACACAACAATAACCAGGATTTCAACCAACACAACATAGATTTGGAGGCTGGCACGGCCGAAGCCGCACCTGGGCGTGCCGCCAACGCCTGGCTCGGATCCCACACTGTGGTGGGAATGCCATAAAGGCCACATTAAAAAAGGAGCCATTGCAGCCTGACTCTCAGACCGCTTCCAGTAATGGAGGAGGTCCAAGGTACCCCGTCAGTTGGCAACCTTCCAAGCCACGGCTTTTAGCACACCGTGATAGCTTCAAGCGCGTCAGATTGTTTATAGTGAGGAAAATGCGCTGAGTCGTCGACCTCACTCTCCCTTCCCATTCCCACACCCCAGCCACTGTCCGAGCCGGTCAGTAGACTGGAGTGGGGAATGGGCGCGGTGGCTGACATGGTCGACTGACCATGCCTGTGCGCGCCACAGCACGACCTGGCCCCCCATACACACACAAACACCAGGATTTCACACAACGGGGGTTGAACGGCGTGTCTCTCACATGCGTGAGAGGGCCGTGGAAGGTGCTGCTTCAGCCCGTCCCCAGCCCACCAGTCCGCCACTACACAACACACACACACAACGTGACGAACTGCGTGAACCGAGAGCGGGCGTCAATCAGCAACCTTCCAATCCACGACACTTGACGTGTCGGGATAGTCTCGGACTTAAGTCACTCGTGCAGCCGAGGCCGCATGGGGACCGAGTCGAGATGCACACTTCCCACTTCCGTGGGAGGCGGCAGTTGAGTGCATGAGGTGTGTGAGGGTTGACGTCTAGTGGGGTGATGATGTTAGGAGGTAGGGAGTGAGGGAATGTGTGGTGTGACCGGCGGTTGTCTAACGCAGGTCGTTGTGGATGCGCATGTGGCCGAATAGACCCATGCGATGCGTGAAGGTGCGAGGGCAGTGTGGGCAGTGGAGGCGAGTGCGGTGGGTGTAGGTTGGTGCTCCAGGCCCTGGTTCGCCAGTCTCTGTGCGATGGATTCGCAAGTGACCCACCAGGCCGATGCGTGAGGTGAAGGTGCGTGGACAATGTGGGCATGAGAGGTCAGCGGTGTCGGTGCCAGCTGTAGAGGAAGCAGTGGTGCTGGTGGTGGTGGCGGTGGTGGTGGTCGGCGCGTGTGACGGTGGGGCGAGGATGGGTCTGGGCGTGTTGGATGTCGTGGCTGTATCGGAATTGCGGTCAATGCCGCTCTCGGGGATGCGCATGTGGCCGAATAGACCCATGCGATGCGTGAAGGTGCGAGGGCAGTGTGGGCAGTGGAGGCGAGTGCGGTG